ATAAACGCAAATGTCTTGAGTACTATCAATTTGCAAACTTAACCGTTTGTTACCAATCTCCTTTTTTATTAAATTCCTGATTTGATCAAGAACAGCATCAATAACTTTGTTGACAGTTGTTTTTGACAACAAGGTTATGAGAGAACCTCTTCCCTTCGATTTTGATTTGTTAGACATTTAAGCGTATCTTTACTACGTTTGCTTTTTAAAATAGCCTTCTCTAAATGATCTCTAAGTATTTGATCATTCTTTGATATAATACGGATCATTTCCAGGAAATTGCCATGATTTAAATTTTCATTATCAAAGAGGCTAAGTGTTTCGGTAGCATTTGATCCTCTGTATGGTAAGTTTTGTTTACCTAAAAACTTTATTATCTCAAATATTTGTTTTATTATGTGGATATTGTTATGTTTTTCATTTAATATTTTAACGCTAATTGAATTATTAAATGACTGGTTTTTTGAAGCTCTGAGGTAGGCCTCGACAGCACTAATATGCACTTTTGAATTTTCATGTATTTTAATAACTGAGTGCATGTGACGAAAATTTGTAGAGCCTGTTGTGAAAGTGTTTTCACATACTGCAAATGCCAGGCAGATCGAGCAATACACAGCTTGGGCTTTATTGCATATAATTTTTATGGTAATCCATTTTCTAGGTATTTTTTCACTCATTACCATTCGATAATATAATTTATCATATTTAATGTTTATTGGTTGTATAGGATGTTGCATTAAAAATCTAAGTTTATGAGGTATAGTATAGTGGCTGTTAATTGCAACTTAAAATTTTCATGTGTATGCATATCCAATTCTGATAATCCACTTTGAGAAATATCTGAAGGTATTTTTGATGTAGTTGCTTCTGACAAGTGTGAGGATAGTGGCAATGATTGAACTGATGCCAATAATAGATGAAGATGTTGCAGATATGGTAGTTGTTTCAGGTAGTGGTGAATGGGAGGCAGTTGTTGATATCTCTAAAAAAATAGTTTATTTACATGAAGTAATAGTATTTGAAATACTTGGTATTGATTTATCAAAAAAAGATAATTTAATTGTTTTGGATCAGCACCAGCTGCTTTGAGACCAGCAGCATTTTTTTTTCTTAATTTTTCAGCTCCACCTTTAAATTTCCTTTTGGCATATCTATGCATATATGAAAATATATCAATTCAACTAAAATAAAATTTATTGTAATTTTTTTTAAAGAATTGTATTTTAATATAAAGCATAAAGTAATCTGTTATGTTACCGGCCAGTAATAAAAAAAAACATTACTATCTTTGGGATATGAAATATAAATAAGTTTTTTAAAATATATCAATTCAACTAAAATAAAATTTTTTATAATTTTTTTTAAAGAATTGTATTTTAATATAAAGCATAAAGTAATCTGTTATGTTACCAGCCAGTAATAATAATAAAAAAACATTACTATCTTTGGGTTATGAAATATAAATAAGTTTTTTACTTTTGACTATTTACATACATCTCAATTTACGTGTAAAAATAGTATATAAAGTTGATTCTTTCTTATATTATGTTTGTTTGCTAATGATCAGTTAATTGTTGTAATACTAATATTAGGCGCACAAAAGTTTCCTCTACAATAAATTAATGTATAAAAATATAATATAATAAATTAATGAAAATTTAGCTTTCACTCTACTCAAGCCCGAGCTCAAAAGGATCAATGAATTAAGAACAAGATAGTTTCCTATATTACAATAAATTAATGTATAAAAATATAATATAAATTAATGAAAACTTAGCTTTCACTTAACTCAAGCCTAAGCTCAAAAGGATCAATGAATTAAGAACAAGAAATACAATCAATCACAATAGTTTCCTATATACAATAAATTAATGTATAAAAATTAATGTAATAAATTAATGAAAACTTAGCTTTCACTCAACTCAAGCCCAAGCTCAAAAGGATCAATGAATTAAGAACAAGAAATACAATCAATCACAATAGTTTCATATATACAATAAATTAATGTATAAAAATTAATGTAATAAATTAATGAAAACTTAGCTTTCACTCTACTCAAGCCCAAGCTCAAAAGGATCAATGAATTAAGAACAAGAAATATAATTAATCACAATAGTTTCCTATATACAATAAATTAATGTATAAAAATATAATATAAATTAATGAAAACCTAGCTTTCACTCTACTCAAGCCCAAGCTCAAAAGGATCAATGAATTAAGAAGAAGAAATACAAAATAAATTAATGTATAAAAATTAATATAATAAATTAATCAAAACTTAGCTTTCACTCTACTCAAACTCAAACATAAGCGTTTTCACTTCCTTTGAAAAAAAAACGAAAAGCACGTGGTAAATGATATATAGCGTCAAGCGACGTAATTGATATTTATGCATTCAAATATAGTAAACGACATGATAATTCTTCTCAGGGAATGTTATATTCAAATAATAGATATCATTAAAAATAAATAAATGATAAGAGAAAATAATGTGAACAAAATAATAATTTTTTTTCCTACCGGCCTCTTTTTTGATATTTTCCTCTCATCGGCCTCAAAATCGACATTTTCTCGCGGCCTCGTGGGCAAAATGCCCACTGGGTCTTATGGCCAGTCCGCCCCTGTGTGCATCTAGCATGCTATACAACAGATGCTTCACATTATTAATCATATCATTAGGTATATTCCTTTTTTTGTGGGTAACTTCACTATCCCAAGCTCTGGTTACATGTTTCCTACATAATTCCAATTGAACATGAGGGAAAGCCCCAATGTAATTATTTCTCCCAGCACAATCTTTATCACTAACAATGACCTTTATATCTGTCCAAGCTGAACTCAGTTTTTTAAAAATTTGAAGCATTTGTGATGCTACATTAAATGACTCCGATTTGACAATCCATACACATATAATATGTGATCTATTATTTCCATCAATTGATACCAAAATATACATAGGCATATGCGGCCATGACTAAAATACGAATTGCTATAAACTACGAATTGCCAGGTAAATTGCGAATTGCCATGACTAAACTACGAATTGCGTAAATTAATGTTAAATTTAGATAAAATTATGGAAGATTGGATGACTAAACTACGAATTGCCGTATATAATGTTAAATTAAATAGAATAAACTACGAATTGCCGTATTTTATGTTAAATTAAAATGACTAAACTGCGAATTGCCGTATTTAATGTTAAAATAAAATGACTAAACTACGAATTGCCGTATCTAATCTTAAAATAAAGTGACTAAACTACGAATTGCCGTATCTAATCTTAAAATAAAGTGACTAAACTACGAATTGCCGTATCTAATCTTAAAATAAAGAGACTAAACTACGAATTGCCGTATTTAATATTAAAATAAAGTGACTAAACTACGAATTGCCGTATTTTATGTTAAATTAAAATGACTAAATTGCGAATTGCCGTATTTAATGTTAATAAAGTGACTAAACTACGAATTGTCGTATTTAATATTATAATAAAGTGACTAAACTACGAATTGCCGTATCTAATGTTAAAATAAAGTGACTAAACTACGAATTGCCGTATCTAATCATAAATTAAAATGACTAAACTGCGAATTGCTGTATTTAATGTTAAAATATAGTGACTAAACTACGAATTGCCGTATCTAATGTTAAAATAAAGTGACTAAACTACGAATTGCCGTATCTAATCATAAATTAAAATGACTAAACTGCGAATTGCTGTATTTAATGTTAAAATATAGTGACTAAACTACCAATTGCCGTATTTTATGTTAAATTAAAATGACTAAACTGCGAATTGCCGTATTTAATGCCAAAATTAAGTGACTAAACTACGAATTGCCGTATTTAATATTATAATAAAGTGACTAAACTACGAATTGCCGTATCTAATCTTAAAATAAAGTGACTAAACTACGAATTGCCGTATCTAATCATAAATTAAAATGACTAAACTGCGAATTGCTGTATTTAATGTTAAAATATAGTGACTAAACTACCATGACTAAACTACGAATTGCCGTATTTAATATTATAATAAAGTGACTAAACTACGAATTGCCGTATCTAATGTTAAAATAAAGTGACTAAACTACGAATTGGCGTATCTAATCATAAATTAAAATGACTAAACTGCGAATTGCTGTATTTAATGTTAAAATATAGTGACTAAACTACCATGACTAAACTACGAATTGCCGTATTATAATAAAGTGACTAAACTACGAATTGCCGTATCTAATGTTAAAATAAAGTGACTAAACTACGAATTGCCGTATCTAATCATAAATTAAAATGACTAAACTGCGAATTGCTGTATTTAATGTTAAAATATAGTGACTAAACTACCAATTGCCGTATTTTATGTTAAATTAAAATGACTAAACTGCGAATTGCCCTATCTAATCTTAAATTAAAATGACTAAACTGCGAATTGCCGTATTTAATATTATAATAAAGTGACTAAACTACGAATTGCCGTATCTAATCTTAAAATAAAGTGACTAAACTACGAATTGCCGTATCTAATCATAAATTAAAATGACTAAACTGCGAATTACTGTATTTAATGTTTAAATAAAGTGACTAAACTACGATTTGCCGTATCTAATCTTAAATAAAGTGACTAAACTACGAATTGCAGTATTTTATGTAAAATTAAAATGACTAAACTGCGAATTGCAGCATCAAATCTTAAATTAAATGACAAACTGCGAATTGCCGTATCGAATGTTAAAATAAAGTGACTAAACTACGAATTGCCGTATTTTATGTAAAATTAAAATGACTAAACTGCGAATTGCCCTATCTAATCTTAAATTAAAATGACTAAACTGCGAATTGCCCTATTTAATGTTAAAATAAAGTGACTAAACTACGAATTGCCGTTTTATTGTTAAAATAAACTACGAATTGCGGTAATTACTGTTAAATTAAAATGACTAAACTACGAATTGCCGTAATGAGTAAAATAATATGACTAAAAAGTGCGAATTGCACTATATAATGTTAAAATATATTGACTAAACTACGAATTTAGGTAATTAATGATTGAATTAGAATGAGTAAACTACCAATTGTGATAATTAATGTTATAATATAATTACTAAACATCGAATTGCCGTATCTAATCTTAAATTATAATGACTAAATTGCAAATTGCCGTATTTAATGTTAGATTTAAACTACGAATTTCGTATTTAATGTTAAAATAAAGTGACTAAACTACGAATTACCGAATTTATGTTGAATACCCAACTGCGAATTGTCATATTTAATGTTAAATAAAATTACTAAACTACGAATTGCGGTAATTAATAATAAATTGTCATGACTTAAATACGAATTGCCGTATTTTATGTTTGATTAAAATGACTAAACTACAAATTGCCATATTTATTGTTAAAATAAAATGACTAAATTACGAATTGCCTTATTTAATGTTAAATTAAAATGACTAAACTACAAATTGCCGTATCTAATCTTAAAATAAAGTGACTAAATTACGAATTGCCGTTTAAATGTTAAAATAAACTACAAATTGCCATATTTATTGTTAAAATAAAATGACTAAATTACGAATTGCCCTATCTAATCTTAATTAAAATGACTAAACTACAAATTGCCGCATTTAATGTTAAAATAAAATGGCTAAACTACGAATTGCCGTTTTAATGTTAAA